GATACCACTCTCTCAACTGCTAGGCCAAGGAATCATTATAGGCTACCAATGTAGCCCTCTTGGCCTAAGCAATTGAGGGTTCACTTACCTTCTCCCTCAAACCGGGGTTTGGACGGCTTAATCACAACTAACCTAGATTAGGGCTGGGAAAATAGACCAGACCGTTAGAAAAATCGTGGTCCAAACCGTACCGCACAGTTTGGTCTGGGCCGTAGACTGTGAAGTATGGTCTGGTCTGGTCCATGGTCTGATTTGATCTCTTAGTCTGGTCTGGTCTAGACCGCGGTTTACCGGACCAGACCGTAGACCCAACTGACTTGTCAATACGTGTTAACAACCCATTCGACCACTCTCCAAACTCCCACAACGACACTCAAGTCTCAACCTTAATTTTGTGAATCTCTTCCCTCCTTCATTCACAACCACATTTAACCACAGAGATAATCGTGTCTCCATATGACATTATGTTAATGTTTATGACATTATGGTGCAAGCTGGGATGCTTTTACTTTGTATCTTTGTTATGTACTAAGATTTAGAGTATCAAAATTATTCATGCATGTTAGGATTAATGTTTTAAGGCAAATAACAATTATTTTCTTGGTTATTGGTTCAATTTTTTGTGTGGTTGACTAAACAAATTATTCATTTTTCGTTGAGTGTGGTCTATCTGGACCAGACCAGACCGAACCAGACCGCACAGGCGTGGTCTGGACCAGACCGTATAGTCTGTGGTCTATACTTTAGCCTCTCGGTCTGGACCGTAGACCGTATATATGGTCTGGCCTGGACCAGACCGCACCGTTTCCCAGCCCTAACCTAGATGTTCAATTTGAGTTTAGAGATTTGTCGTACATTAACCTAGATAGGAGGCATGAAATGCCCAAGAAAACCAAGCTCAATTTGAGCCTCTTTCAAAATGGGGTTTCCCTCTAGGCTAGGTTAGAATAGCACAATAGATTGAAAAGCACACACAATGCACAATCACCATGAAAAATACCTCAAATCTCGAATTAAACAACACCCACACATAATCATCTAATCCACACAATCAACTACATGGTAGAAGTTAAGGTTCTACACACCCAAGTGAAAAGGTGACTACTCCATGTTAGAAGAAGGAAAAACCCAAAGGAAAGGGAAAACCATCATTGGGATGCTTCAATCCGCCTTTGTACTTGTAGTGATCATCTTTTGAAGAGAAACTTCCCAAATCTTGACTTGGAGAGAAACACTAGCTCTTTCTCCCTCTTGGTTTGTTGCTTTCTCTCTCTAGATTTCATGAAGAAGAAGGTCTCTTCCACTCTAGGTATCTTCTCTTCTTCATCCTTTCAGCTCCCTTTTTATACACTGTCGCGCTCAGTTCACGGTCCCCGTTCACGGCCGTGAACTAATGACGGGGACCGTCAATCACGAACAAAGACGCGTCGTTTCACTTAGCCAGTTCACGGTTGTGTGATCGTGAACTGATTTTAGTCCGGTGACTTATAGAAACGCTCTTGAACCTGGCCAGTTCACGGTTTTGATGACCGAGAACTCTTTGCTTCCGCCGTGAACTTCGGCTGCTCCCATCCTTTTGCCCGATCTTCGCACCTTTTCCTCCAACTCTCTACTTCGGAGTTGGTTCCACCTGTTTGAGTCTAAAACACACTGAAACACGACAAACATAGCGTAAAACCACACCTTTCGGAGCTCAAATGCCACAAACGCCTAAGGAAACGGGTATGAAAAGTATACATTTAGGCTCGAATCATCATTCTTTTTCTGACCTACTAGTTCTTTATTATGAGTTCTACTAATCGTACATTATTGTCGTTCTTTTCTTGAGCTACCAAATCTTTATTATTATTATCAATGTGTCACGATGCAGCGAGAAATTGGGAAAGTGTAATTTAATTAGTTAACCTCCTTGAAAAAAATTTGTTTCCTTTTTTTGGGGTTCACTAACCTGTGTCGGAGGGCTTTGTTGATCTTCTCCAACATCTTTCTCCAATTTAGAGAAACTTTGCAACCAATTTAGTTTTCATCTATATACGTGAGACGGTTTAATTAGCTATCTATGATATTATTTTTTCCAACCTCTCTCTCAACCAAATTAAGGGTCATTATCGCTCCCAGACTTGGGTTGATCAATTTCCTGAAACCTTGGTGAAACATTTCACTGACCAGGGCTCTGATCACCGTGCTCTCCTCCTCTCGGACAAACCATACGCTCGCAATAGCCGTCCTCTTTTCCGGTTTGATGCCAGGTGGGCGGACAACCCAGAAGTTAGGGCTATGGTTGGCTATGTCTGGAAGGAGGAGATCCATGGGACCCCTATGTTCTGTCTTTGGGAGCGCCTTAAAAGGCTCCGCCATCTGCTCTATGATTGGAGCAGGGCTGGCACTACGAATTCCCTGCGGAATATCAGAACCCTCCAGAGTGAAATTGAAAGGGTTAAGCTTAACCAACCAATTAACTGGGACGAGGTCAGAAAGCTTGAAACGGAATTAAATCGGCAGTGGGAGGTACCCTCCAGGAATGTGAAAATTTGATAGAGGTGTTGAATGAGTATGAGGAGTTGAGTGGCCAAAGGGTGAATCTGGATAAATCCGCTGTTTTTTTAGCAGAAATATTGTCCGTGAGGACCAGGAGTTTCTGGCTGCTATCTTGGGTGTGGGAGCGGTAGGGGTCCAGGATAAGTATCTTGGGCTACCCACTCTGATTGCCCGTTCAAAAATGGCCACCTTCCGGTATCTTGAGGAGAAATTATTGGATCGACTCAAAGGGTGGAAGCAAAGGACACTGTCTTGGGCGGCAAAGGAGACACTGATAAAGTCTATCGCTTTAGCTTTGCCGTTACATGTGATGTCATGCTTTAAACTTCCTGTCTCGTTGTGTCGGTTACTGGACAAACATGTGGCCCGCTTCTGGTGGGGGGATGCTGTGGACCAGGGACGAATTCATTGGATGTCCTGGCGAAATTTATGTCGTAGTAAGCATGAGGGTGGGATGGGGTTCCGTCGCTTTGAGCAATTTAATCAAGCGTTATTAGCTAAAATTGGCTGGCGTATTCTTATGGAGCCCCATTCCTTGCTGGCTCAGGTTTATAAAGGTAAATATTTTCCTAGAGGCTCGTTTCTTACTGCTACGGCCCGGTCTCGACCTTCATGGGGGTGGCAAAGTATCCTGTATGGTAGGGATTTGCTGGAGAAGGGCTTGAGGTGGCAAATTGGGAATGGGAAAACTGCCTCGCTCCTCCATTCTAATTGGATTCCCTCCCTCCAGTTGGACCCTCCACAGTTTAACCCTCGGGTTTTACCAGAAGAGGGTGACCTGAAGGTTGAGGAGGTAATCTGTCCGGGGGAGGGGAGATGGAATGATCAAGTTCTTAGCCAATGGTTTGACCCACCGACGTGCAGAGCCATCAAGACTATGCCTCTTCCACGACAGTGGGTAGAGGACAGGTTAATTTGGAATGAGTCCCCTGATGGGGTGTTCTCGGTCAAGTCGGCCTATCATTTAGCAGTCTCTCTTGATAAACGTCGGGGGGGTTGGAAATCTGGGGTCAGTTGGATGGATAGGGCGAGCTGGATTCGGGTGTGGGAAGCCAAGATCCCTCCCAAGTTAAGGGTCTTCCTCTGGCAGATTCTAAATCGGATTCTGCCGACTACTGAGGCTCTTATTGAGAAGAAGGTCCCAGTGCATCCCCGATGTCCGGTTTGTTGGGCAGCTTCGGAGACCATGGAACATCTTTTTCTTGATTGTCCGGTAGCTCGGGCTATTTGGGATCATGCTGGATTGGCTCACTTGGGGGAGGGGCTTCCTCGGCATACGTTTCCTCTCTTCCTTAAGCGGCTGATGGATTTGATTAATCAACCTAATGTTATTATGGCAGTAGTGGCGGTCCTATGGCGTATTTGGCGTTCTCGAAACTGGGTTGTCTTTGAAGGCAAGCAGTTTGGGTTTTGTGCCCTAATGCGTCAGTTTCACCAGCAATATGAGGAATGGATTCGGCTTCCGGTGGATAAAGGCCCCTGTGGTGTACGGGATGTTCCCACCCATCATGAGGCGGCTGGGGGACAGGGAATTATTTGCATGTGGGATGGGGCAATTCGGAAGGGATCCCACTCGGCGGGAGGAATGGTTATCCTCACCCAGGATCGGGAAGTTCTGTTAGCTAAAGGGGTGCAGTTTCCTTGGATTGAGGACCCTTTGGTGGTGGAATTACTCACGTTGCGGGAGGCTGTTCTGTGGTGTCATTCGGTCGGCTTGGCGGACGTTATGTTTGAAGGGGATGCGCAAGTTATCATTGATAAAATCATTCGCAGGGAGGCTCGAGATAGTCGTTTGGGTGCTGTGCTCGAGGAGGTTATTCATTTTTTTGCCGGTAATCCTGGGTGTAGTGTTAGATTTGTAGGTCGGCGTAGCAATAGGGTAGCCCATTTGGTGGCTCGTAAAGCCCTCTCTTTGTTCCCGACTATGGGTCTTTCTTTTGATTTCCGGGCCTGGCTGGTGTCCAGGATTTAACTTTTTTATTGATCAATATATGATTATCTTTTGTCAAAAAAAAAAAAAATTAAGGGTCATTATCAAGTGATATATGATCCGTTCTTCAATCATCCTTGTCGATTTGAATGGTACTCGAAGCAAGTGAGATAACTTCAAAGCTAGAGGTCAGAGTAAATGAAGGAAATATCTTCCATTGTCAAGGAACAAAAAAATGAGTGATCGACTTCGACCAAAGATTGGAATAGGAAGAAAGAAGATCAATTGATGAGCTAACTGCATTTCTTCAGTTCCCTGAATGAATACAAGGTTTCCGTTTCATGCTAATTAGTGGGTACTTATCGGCACAAGCAGAGCAGCAGACAACAAGATGGAGCACAAGTGATCATTTTGTATACACAATAATTCCCTTGTACATAAAAGCCATCCATGATTTTGTACATAAAATATCAATCATACATCACGATTGTGTTGGGGCTATGAACATTTAGATAATAAGAAAAATAATTGATGTATAATGTAATAGTATAATCCATTTTATATAGTCAACACATTAGTGGTTGTCCACAACAAATTAACACAAATTACTGTATATAACCTGAACGAAGAAGTTGGCTCCAAACATCAGAGTTCTCCAACTTCCCCGGCCACTTCCCCTTAAACACCTTCCCCGATCATGATTAATATTACCTAGAGTTAGGCCGTGTAATTAGAAAGAAAGAAAAAATAACTAAGAGAGAAAGGTATTGTGGAAGGAAAAAAAAAAAAAAAGAAAAAAAACTAGAGACTCAAGTGGTGAGCACGACACGGTTCACCAGCATGGTACACAGCGCAAAAGAAACCGTCAGCAATATCCCAAATTTCTTCAGCATCACCGCCGCCGATCCCTGCTTCCGGATGCTAATCACCGGCGACGGAAACTTCGTGGCACTCTTCCCGCCGTCCGATTTACCCGCCAGTCCGTTACCGTTGATCTCTCCCGGCAGAGACAAGCAGTGGCTGAAGACGGCCAGCGTAACCAGAGTCAACAAATCAACGGCATTTCCGGCGTAATGAGTGGTGGTTGTACGGTCGGGGCTGGGATGGTTGAGCTGGATCTTCACGGTCTGGAACGGGACCGACTGGTGGAAGAACGTGTGGGCGGCCTGGCGCGTGGAGACGGACAGCCTGTGGTTGACTTTGACTTCCTCCACCACCTCGTCGAAGCTCGGCGAACTTGCGGTGTTGGTGGACGGGTCGTCGCCGCCGCCGATGAACCCCAGACAATTGTAAACGTCGTCGTTGTCGTGCAGGAACCCGAGCCCATCCTTATCTGCAGCCAAAAAGAAGTTATAGAAAGGTTTGAGAATGTAAGAAGATTGAGAGAGTGATCTGGGAAGACGATAGCTTGTGGCGTACGTTACCTGCTTCAAGGCCATCCTGATCATTGTAGTTCTGCGACGTGAAACTTGTGATGCTGGCTATGGGAACAATCTTGTTCTCCCCCGTAAAATTCTGTAATTTGCGGAAAACAATATTATTGAAGTATATATTATTATAATATTATATATGCATGGGGGCAGGGATATGGGTGGATTTGGCACCTTGTTTAGTTGGTCATTTGACATGCCCATCCACCTCAAGTTCTCCGCCACGAAGTGATGATCTCCTCCATCCACGTCACCAATCTCTATATTTCTGGAGCTACTGATCTGCCCATCTAACCACAACGACGACGACGACGTGAAGGCGAAATCGTTGTTACCGTGATCAGCAGCAGCCGCCAAGTGGTTCCCGCCGAACCCTGCCGCCGGGAAACTGTTGTAATGCTGGTTGTTGTTGTTGTGTATGAGCTCCTGAGACGCGTGAGCTACGGAAAGTATCTCCTGCAGCAGAAGGTCCGAACCCCCGCCGCCGCCGCCGCCGCCCTCATATTGATTGCTATATTGATGATTGTAATAATGGTGGTGGTCGGACGCCGCTCTTTTCGGGTAGTCCTCCACTTCCAACGGCGGCAGGGTGAACCTGTGCTGCAACCTTGCGCATTCCAATGCTATATCCACCTGCATGCCCGCCCATTTTTAGCTAAGGATTCCAACCTTAATTACTCGTGGACATGGTTGTCACGCCGGCCGGTATGTCATCGGTTGAACCTGGTTCAACCGGTGCCGGTCATGAAACCGGCATGATCGATATACAAATTTTTAAATAAAATGACCTCATTTTTAGTACATTTAAATACGAGTACATGTAATTTTATTTGAAATATCACATTCTATTGAAATATCAATATGAATTGTACGTAAATTGTCTTCAAATATGGTTTATATATGATTAGATTCATTTCACAGTAATGGTTTTTTTGACAGTTCTACATATTTTATTAACCGATATGAACCGGCACAAACCGGTTGTACCACTGGTAGAACCATTCCACTTGGTAAATCGGCGCAACGGTATAAACCGGTTTGACTTAATTAATTTAACGTTACCTTGGAGGGAGGGTAATTGGGGATGGACGACGACGAGGATCCGTAAGGGGAAGGGAAGGCAGCAGTTTGGAAGGTGAAAGGATCCTGCTGCAACTGCATGGAGGAGGAAGTAGTAGTATTGGTTCCAGCTGCTGCCCACGGAGCCTGAGAGCATGATGTGTCCACGTACGCACCGGCGGTGTCGGAATAAAGCTCCATGCTGCCGGACGACGGCTCACCGACCTGAAGATGGTGATTCATGGCGGAGGAGGCGTAGTTGATTTTGGGAGCAGTGGGAGGCGCCGTCTTCTTGAACACTCGGCACAGTGCATATGCGTCCTGTACAATTAATTCAATATATAATAAGAAGAAAAAAAAAGGAGATGACACGATGTCGTATTCTTAATTAATGAAAGGAGGATGAAGAGAGAGAGAGAAAAAAAGGTCGTGTTCGCACAATGAATGCGGCATGAGGTGGGACCTGTAAGCCAGAAGCAGCCGGGGAGTCGCACTCTCGCTCGTCTAGGCGGTACTCGTGCATGACCCAATCGGTACGGGACCCGTGAGGGGCGCGCCCGCGGTAGTACACTAGGGTTTTCTTCATCCCTACGGAACGCATCTGGGAGTTCACCTTGCGATCTTTGCCCGTGGCCTTCCAGTACCCGGATTTCGTGGCCCGGTTCGTTCTCGACCCGTTGGGGTACTTGCGGTCTCGAGGGCTGAAGAAGTACCACTCCATGTCTTTGCTGGGGAGTAGGGATTTTCCTGCCACATTTAGTAGAGATTTTTGCTTTAATTCCCACCCAAGGGCAAATGGCTACTTTCTATGTTTGCTATAACAAGGTTAAGAACAGAATTTAAGAGTCTACCCATAAAAAGAAGGAAAAGCATGCATGTATATATATATAACCTGAAGCTTAGTCAGTACTACTTTCTTGTTTTCTATTACCAAGTTAAGAAAACAATTTGGTTAGTTGGTAAATTAATGTATAAGCCAGTTAGTTTTTAATAGATTGAAGTTCATCAAGTTCCCGCATCACAACACAAAGTGGGGAAAATGTAAAAATAATTGATCCTTCCCTTTGAAAAATGAGCACATAGAGCCTACATATGTACCCTATCACTATTCTTATTCTTATTTTTTATTTTTTAATGAATACCTGATTGCAATTCACTGATCGAGAGAATGAAGGAAAACAACACGTCTAATGCTATTCCATTCCATATATATATAACGTGGGCAAGGGAACTTTGTCATTTGTATATTCGTTGCTTGTAAAAAGCAAAGTTGGAGTTGTGAAACACAAGATAGAACCTAAAACAAAACTCCCAAAAAAAAAAATCATGAAAACAAACAATTCCCGACCCTGGAAACCCTAAAGCAGCTGACAGGAAACAAGGATCAAATGATTATCATCAGTGGTGGCCTCAAGACGCGCTTTCTATCTTTCCCTCGCTCTCTTTAACCTTTGTTTTTTTTTTTTTACTTGACAAAAAATGGATATAGATAGAAGGAGATGGAGAAGAATGAGGGAGTAATTAGGGTACCTGGTAAATCCCAGGGCTCGCACTTGTAAAGATCAACTTCAGGGATGATCTCCAGCTCGATCTTCTGGGCGTTGATCTTCCTCTTGAGGTAGTACGCCACCAGCTCCTCGTCCGTCGGGTGGAACCGAAACCCAGGCGGCAATGACACCGGAGCCATCGATCTCTCCTTCTCTTCTCTTTCCCACGACCCGACCGCCCGGCGTCCAGCAGATAATCAGCTAAGCTGAGCAAGATATGGATGGAAATGAATACAAAACAGTTAGTAATGGCTAATCAATACTGATATATGCATAAATGAAAGCTGCGTGGTGGTGGGTTCGCGGCCCAATAGATTCGTTATGGATGAGAATAAAGGCAAAGGTGTCATTATGGAAAACCAGCGCCGTGCCTGCATGCATGAGATGAGATGAGAAGAGAAGAGAAGAGAAGATGCAACTAAACAAATTAACCCACCTTTGGGGATTGAGGAAGGAAGGAGGAGGAAGCGAGAGAGAAAGGGAGGAGAAATGAGGGCGTCGGTTGGGGGTATTTATTTTAATTCATGAGAGGGAGAGGGAGAAGAAGCGAACAAAAAGAAGCACCCCGGCCAAAGGTAAAGGGAGCTGCTCAAGGGGGACAAAAGGAGGGAGGAAAAAAAGCAAAAGTAGGGTGTTTGCCGCCCGCCCCTGCCCTAATCTGGCTTTTTGGGGTGTTGGACTCCTTTTCATACTTCTGTGTGTTGCTTTTTTGCATCTTCTTCTTTCCTTTCCCTTCATCATTAGTTGATTCTCTTTGCCGTTCTCGCCAAGCTTATATGCTTGTTTCTACGAGGAGCGAGCATTTCTATATATTTTTTTTGGTTTTACACCTTCCAGATCTTTGTGCGCAAGGGATTATATACCTTTTCCCATCATACACCTTCATCTTCATGGGTACGAAAAACATCTATACAATTGCAGTGTGGACGGAAAAAAAATCAAAATTGGAAAAAAAATCAAAATTGGAAAAAAAAAACAAATACCAAAAATAAAAAAATATATAAATATCCAAATAATGAATTCGAATGATAGCTATGTATTTCAATACATGTAATTAAAATATATCTATCCAAACACACTATTATAGAATTCCGCTAACTTTTTATTTATGACATTTATAAAAAAAATATGATTCAGTACTACATGGATTGATCGATTGATTATTTGTGATGGGAGTTTATTTAAGAACGTTGATATGAAGATAAATTCTAGTAGTTGACTCACTACCATACGATGAACGACTATATGAACGTTTATTCTACTGACATTAATGACACGTATAAATTACTATTTTAGATTCCTTTATTATGGTTAGAATTGCATGCTTTTCATATATTTATTGTCATAATCACTTGAATTTGATTAATAGTATCTAAAGGTGTGTTTTAGTAGCTCTATGATCACTTTTACTATTTCAATGCACTCTTGGCAGTATTTCATGTGTTTACAAACCATAGCATACTAGTAAACCACCTAGTACGAGTAGGGAAACATCAAGGCCGGACTCCTGGGAGTCATAATGCAAGATCATATCGAAGTCAAAAAATGGCATGAAAACAGTCGACCTTAACCTAAAATGATGCCTTGGCTGCCGATTTGGAGGGTCTAATCTAGCCTAGAATCTAAAGTAATATGACAAACTTGGTGTCCAACATGAAAGAAACCACATGGAACTAGGGAAACGCGTGTTGACCGACTTTTCCTATAACATCCTAGTCTTTGAAACATTTAAATAACGGGTTTGCTCCCGAGCATATTAATTTTTTTTAAGAAACAAATAACTTGTTCAAATAAACTAAAATGATACGACCATGGCTTAAAACGAAGCCCTATACTCGGGAAAACCATAAAATCTTAATCTGAATCCCCCGTCTTTACTCATAATCATAAAGTATATTTCATGATACTGCTTACTAAGATCCGTGGTCAAACATCCTCGGAAGTGCTCACGTGGTCCTCATCTGGTAGGTTGCTCTCTCTCTATCGCTGGATGCTCCTCAATTGGGGGCTCCCTAGATCCTCGTCTATGGTCTAGTGAGTGGGTTGGGACAGTCTACGCCAATACTAAAACTCTCGAAGGTCTTAAGGGTATTCCCTTAAGTGTCCACCTTAGAAATTATAGAAATTGTCACTACTTCCAATCTTAAACTTTAATACTAAAAAACGTGGGAGTTGGAGTTACTCACCACCCTAACAAACTTAAACTCTCGTCTACTTTCTAAGTAACATGCTTCCTTTAATTAACTGAAAGTAGGGCCCCTACCTCGACTTAGCTTGGCGCAACTACTAGCCTTACTTAAACATGGCTACTCTCACAATGGGGTGCCCCTCAGCTGAATTATGACCACCACGTTGCGTCTCATTGTCTGGTGTCAAACTGTGGTATGCGAACTGGGTTATGTATCGCTCCGATTGCGTATCTAAAAATTGAAAATGGAAACTGCGTTACACGCCGTCCAATTCCATGTCTGACTACTGCATTTAGGTATAGTCTAGTAGTAATCCCTCGTGACTGTGGCTAGCTAAGCGAGGTTAGTGATTAAATTATTCTTTCTTATTACTTTCTCTTGATCTTCTCACCTTAACTTATTTAACGGTGAATACTTAAAACACTCGTTCTTAAATGTCATAGATACTTAAATAGCAAGTTAGAAACTTAAATGCTTAAATGTAGATATTGAAATTGCCAAAACAACAAATCCAATTGAAACATGCATAATCAAACACACAACTTCACACAATGCAATTGCTTCAAACACATAAGCCCTAGAATCCCTTAAGAGACATTTCCTTATATCCTTTGACATGGAATCCCTTAATACAATTGCTCCCTTAATCCTATAAACCGAAATTAGGTTTGGTTTAGTCGGTATTCCTCAAATTTAGTTCCTTTAACGTACTGGAAAATTTCCCTCCTTAATTTCCTAGTCCCAAAAATTCTTTAAAATAACATTTAATCTCTTTCAAATAAATTTCTCAAAAGTGGAATTTTTTCCAACATTTTACAAAACTCAAATCATTTGAATTAAATCAATAACCCTCTGATTAATAAACCTCATCAAATCCTCTTACATTTCCAAAAATTCATTTTCAATTAAAAATTCCAAATTATGTCTTCAAATAACTCAAAAAATTTATCAAAATTATTAACCATAAATCACACTTTAAGTAACCCTTTTTTCTATTAAATGTTATCATAAATAAATATGACAACCAAGTCACTACTGGTGACCTTGCATGCATTGCCTTTATGCCTCATATGAAAGATTGTTCGGCCAAGGTAATGCGCGAACCTCATAAATGGTAGGCGGATGGGGGTAGGTCTAGCATAACCAGAAGAAAAATCTAACCATGAGTTCTTTGTAATCCTCTTCCATAAAGCTGTGAAGATCCCTTGTTGTGATGTTGAGTCCTAATAGCCTCCCAGGCTAGCATCATAGAGAGCACCTCTCGTGTCGTATGGGGACCCCTAACTTCTATGCGAAGCTATCATAATTGTTGGTGAAGCGCCTCCCCACCAACTGATAGGTGATGCATGTCTGACTAGAGCTTCATGCTAGTGATTTGAGAGTGTGGCGAGGAACTCTCTAGTCAAAACATTAATGGTCTATCCTCTTATGCTGAAGATAGTGCTCAATTTGAAAGTGCATGATGGAGGATAGACCATTAAATAAAAAAAGAAAGAAAAATTGGCATGATTTGTGCTCAATTCGAAAGTGCATGATGGAGGAAATAAAAAAGGAAGAAAAAAATTAAAAGAAGAAAAGAATGAAAAATAAAGAAAGAGAGCTGTCACAAAAAGTTTAATATTACAGAAAATTTTGTTACCTCCTACTCTCTTGTGCTTAAAATACGCTAGAAGCAGCATTAGCATAGAAAGTTGCTATGCATAATTCATGTGTATGATTTGGTTGGAATTGTGGAACTTCGGTTGTATGCATCCACAGCCTCATATCATGTTCCCCATGTCCAAGCCCCCTGCTAGTTACATTGCAACCCGGTCAAGTCCTCCTAACAAGTTAGTTGTGACACCTATTTTGCGAACTCTAACTCTTAGAAGCTACTACCATGGCGAAGATGTGTTAAGGATGAGAGATTGAGTATGCATTGCATCAAATTGTCCTGACTCCACTCGTGGAGAGTGAACGGTGAGTCATTTTTCCATAATATTTATCTTGGAGATGACCTAGATTGCTCAGTCTTTGATTCTGAGTAGTTGAAACAAGTCATTTGTTGGTATGTGAACAGAGAGGAAACTCTTCATTTCCATGTTTTTGCTACATTCGAATGTCATATGTGTGGTGGTTGTCAAGGTTGTTGTCGTTGTTCGTGTATCGATGTCAAATAGCCAAGGTGTTTCATGTATTTGTGTGCCTCTATGATATGTCCCCAGAGTCTACATGGTTAAGATGTTTTGAGCACCTTGTGTCTTACTTGGTTTGCTTGTGGAAAGCAAACATTTAAGTGTGGGAGAATTCAATAATACCATGATACACATGTTTTTTTCACTCATTTCTTAGTTGTTTGGCTTGGTTTTTATTATTCCTTAGCCTATTTAACGCTAGGTTGCGTTCTTTTGTCACATTTCAGGCCCTAGCAAGTAAAGGGAGGCATAATCGCAAGTTTCGGGTGAATCAAAGGTCGTTTGGTCACTCAATAGCCACTCAAAAGTGAACTAGAGGCAAAACACCGACTCTGTTTCTCCATCCAAGGATTGTGTTTCTTATGCCGATAGGAATCATGGGGAAGGGACAAAACACAGGCACCGCCCGTGTTTCTCCCTCGAGTGCTAGTGTTTCTCCCTTTCCTATGAAATTTAAGTGAAATGCGGGGAAGGGCATAAATACCAGCACCAAAACACGACCATGTTTTGGCCAGAATCAGGTTTAACTCACAATTTTGAGCCTTTTGAAAGGGATCCGACTTTTGACAGCAAAAATAGAGTTCTATAAAGAGAAAGTGAAGATGAACAAGACCGTGGAGCTGATTTGATCTGAGATACTACCTTTGAATCTTGGAGAGCAAATCGACATCCTGAAACTTATTATACACATCTTCACGAGTATGACTACTCCGATTATGGTTTTCCTTTCTCTTTATGTCGTAAACCTTCTTTTCACTTGGGTATGAAGAACCCTAGTTCCATGTGTTAGGATCTTTTTTGTATAAACTTTTGGATGTTATACTAATTGGTTTTATTCAATTGAGGCATGATTATTTGAGTCAATTGAGTTTTCATCACATTCTATTGATTTTGGATTTAACCTAGGAGAGATAAAATATGATTGGGTTAAGAGAGCTTCTTCAATTGGAAGTAGTGAATCCATTGTGCGAGAGTCGATCAATTTATTGCTCTATATTGGAATTCACTCCAATAGATTAGATTTTTGTGTATTACCTTGACATTTTATTCTGGTGGAGGTTAGTCGCCCGCCGGGTACTTTTTCTAAGAGGGCTTGGTCTGCTTTAATCAAAATTCCATGCCCTAATTGAGAAGCTAGGGGGACAAATACTTAAGTGACCTCTCTTGCATATGAAAACCAGAACATTACCTGCTTT